GAGTGCTATCATATATACCACCCAGTCTTTTCTTGAGGTGAAACATGTCCAGTTCTTTCAATCACTCCTCAGAGGGTTTTGTTTCCAGTCTCTAGATCATCTTTATTGCCTTTCTCTGAACCCTTTCCAGCTTGTCTACATCTTTCTTAAACTGTGAATCCTAGAAATGGCAAAGTACTCTAGACGAGGCTTAACCAGTTGCTGAGTAAAGGGGAACTATTACTTCATGGGATTTAGAAGTTACTCTTCTATGAATACAGTTTAATAGCATTTGCCATTTTTGCATCCACATCACATTGTTGTCTCATATTCAGCTTGCGAGTTACAATTCCAAGATCCCTCTTAGTTGCAGTATTGTTGAGCCAAGTATTCTGCATTCAATGCAATTTTTACCACCTTGCACCTCACATCCTGCACTTCATCTAAATGGCTATTTTGGTTGGGGGAGGGAAAGAGGCCATGACACTGCTAGGATATGGTAAAACCAGTTGGTCCCAGCCTGTCCCTGTATTTCTCTTCCCAGTAAGCTTCCTTTCCTCCTCTCCAAAGCTGATTTCCAACCTCAGAGAGGCAGCCAGTGTGGTTCTTCTATGCTGCCTGCAAGTGGTACAGGGCAGGTCTCAACTTGTGCAGACCCAGCACCAAGGTCACAGGATTTTCAAGCAGAGACGCTGAATAATCCTATGGCCTCCCCCAGACAATGTTGGAAGGCCATAGGACTGCACCTTTGGAAATGTGTCTGAAAATAAGTTTTAGTTCTCTTCAATGTAACTTTTTGCATATAAAAGCCAAAGCATGTGTTTGCTTCTTTTCAGAATGCATCATTCTTTTTGTTTTGTAGGAAACAGACTTCAAAATGTTCTTCTTCACAGATTTCTTTCAATGCTATTAGGCTACTAATGAAGGCTTTTATGTCAAAATGGTGTTAGAGATTTTAGAGAATCAAGCTGATGAGGAAGGTTTAAAAAAACATTTTGTGTTAACTATAGTATTACTGTTATTTTCTGTAATTAAAGATCTTTTACATCACTTCCCTTTTCCATTCTAACCTGATATTTTGATCAGAGAATGAGACATCTTTTCTAGTAAGCATCCTTGGACACTTCTGGCCATCTCCGTGTGCTTTGGGATCATTGTTCTCTATCTGAAGTTCTCAAAAATGGCTGGAAAGAGAATCTGACCAGTCAGAAGTTGTGGTGAGAATGACCTGGGCCAATACAAAATTGGTCTGGCCCAATTCAGGTAGAAAAAAAGAAACTGGTAGCATAAACAGATTTCTCTTCTCCCTGCTGCTCCCTTCCCCACAAGTCCCCAGATCTTCTAAGAAGGGTTGGGAGATAGATTAGATCGGGGGTTTTCAGGGAAAAACCCCATTGTACAAGAAAACTACATCTTGGATGCTTCTCTTCCATTCAACAGAAGGGCTGTCAAGAAAGCTGGGGTCTAAAGGCCTCTGTAACCTGATGCTGTTATTCTTATTGTATTGTCTAATGGTTACATTTTTCAAAGTGTTTGGCTACATCCATGCCTGGAGCTGAATTCAGCCCTTGGACTGAATGAGGGGGCCCATCCCTGTGCTAAAATGAGGGCAAGCAGGGTCAGATTTCCACTCAGACATGAAGCTTACTGGGTGACCTTGGATGGATCTCAGGTTGCATTTGAGCTGCACTGATGTGTGTGCCACAACGAGTTGTTACATGAAAACTAATCCAGGATGGGTTGTGGTGGTGGCTAATTGTTAGTCACCTCAACAACCCACTCTAGCAGATTCACACGTAACAAGAAGTTGTGTTGCACTCCTGCTGCAGTTTGGGTTTTTAAAATCCAAAATGGCAAGGCAAATGGGGATGTTCACACACAGTACCTTGCCAGGATGAGTTCACATGATCACAGAGTGATAATAAACTATGGTGTCCATTGCACTGGTTGTGAGCCACCCAAATAACATAAGTTGCCTTGCTGGGCATGGGTTCTTGTGAACCCTGATTAGCTCAGTTTATCAGGGATTTATTTATTTTTTATTTATTGTCAGAGTTTACAAACCTTGCCAGGGCTCAGGCAACATAATCTACACTAAAGAGTTGAGGATCGGCTTTTGTAGAACAGAGAGTTGCTGCTGAAGCATGGGCTTGATGCTATCTCCTAAGCAGATTGCAGCAGGAAATGTGTACAAGGGTGCTTAAATTCCGTGTCAGTGTATGTAGGATTTCAGGCAGCTGTGGTCTCCTGTGTGAAGACATGGAACATCTTGGTTTATGTTTGTGCTGTATGATGCAGCATGTTGGCTTACTGTATTTGGAGTGGAAGATGGAGAGTGTGTGGGTGTTGGGAGTGCAAAGGGGCCCGGCCACATGCAGGGTACTCACTGTGAAACACTTCTAGTTTTCCCCTGCTCAGAATGTTTGGATTTCTCAGACAATTGTTTGGTAAAGCAACACCTGGTCTTGGAAATACTCTTGAGGATTTCCATTACAAATATATAATTTGTGATTTAAAAAAATTAAATAAAACATACTCCAGTGTGTATTGAAGGTGGCATAGTTGTACAAGTAGCTTCAAACAGATACAATTTAGATAAGGACGATTTAAAAAATCACAAATGCCAAATTATCTTGACTCAATTACACATTTCATCAGGAAAAAAAAGCAGTTCCCTGGCAGTAGTTAGGAACAGCATAAAGGCAAAATACTGGGCTGCTTATAACTAAAACTCGATAAAATCTCCCCGTCTAAAGGAAGGGACAAAACTCATTACAGATAAGGCATTTCCCCCAGAACGCCTCTCCCGGATTGCTTTTTATTTAAACGCATGGGCTAAAAAGGAAATCGCTCCCTCTTATCTTGCCGGAGATCAGCCTAGCCTCTGGCTCGTTCTGATCACAGCTATGGGTTCTTTTAACCTCTCCGCCACTGCTGAGATCGCAAATCCTGAGATCTGCTAAAATACGGTGTCTGGATTAAAAAAAAAAAAAAAGAAAGAAAGAAAGAAAATCCAATCAACCTCGCACAGACGCATATGACTGACTGAGCATATGTCTGCATTATTTTACGGTGGCGGATCGGATTAGGGCTAAACAGCGTCCAACGCGACGCCGAGGTGCGAGCTTTTGTGTGCCAACTCGTTAGTAAGGGCCCGGTGCTAAATGCATGGATGTTGCTTCAGGCCCCCTCCTGTTACGAATTGCGGGGGGGGGGGGGAGATGCAGCCGGCCTGCTTTTGCAAAAGGACTGGGAAGGAATCCGCTCGCGGGAGGGTCTTGTTTGTATGTTTTGTGTTGTCTGTGCGTGTCTCTCTGGATGTGTGTGTGCGCGCCCGCGCGCTCCCGCACAGTGCACATCCGCGTGTGTTCATTCACTGTAGTTGATATACCCGGTTCATTAGTGCATGAGTGTACGGACTAATGGTGTCTTGCACACACCCACTGTGACTGTGTGTGCGTGTGTGTGTGCGCGCGCGCGACCGACCGTGGAAGTGTGTACCCGAAAATGAGAAAAATAGTGTGTGACAAAGGGGTAGGTGCTTGGGTAGCCTGAAGAGTTTAACGTAGACAGGGAAGGGAAGCAAAATATGGGCACATCTGAGAGAGGAAGCCCTCGTGTGTGTACGCGGGTGAGATTTTGTCTCTCGTGGGTGGTACGAGAAGCTAAGCTTGTGCACATATCACAGGTTTGTATATAGGGGGGATGGCCATGAGAGCAGATCTTTGTGCTTTGTCCAGTTTTCTGTAAGATCAGGATGTATAAAATAGCTTGTCCATTCAGTGTGGGTGATCTGACGAGTGTACGTGAGAGTGAATGAGTGAGAATTCCTTTGTGTCTCCGGCGCGGGTGGCCACGTGTGGGAAGCTGTCTAGCGTATGACACGCGGCCAACGGGAAAGAGGAGGCTGCGTGAGTGTGAAAGTGTATGTGTACGAAGCCACTACAGATGATTGGGACTTGCGCGCGCGCGAGTGTGTATATGCGCGTGTGTGAAAGGGGGGGGTACTTCTCCACCCTTCTACACAGCCTGTGCATGTCCAGTTCCGGAGAGGTGTCAAGGTCTGCATGAATCCGGGTGCAAATATGTGTCTTGTGCAAAGGGACGTGCATGAGAGCTTGGGGGAGAATGCTGAAAGAAATCCCCCCTCCCAAGAATATACCTCTGAATATGAAGAAAAATTGCTGAGGAAGGACGGGGGTGGGCTACAGGAGAGATGTGCGTGTGACAGCAGAGCCGTCCGTGTATAAACCGATCCTCCTGTAAAGCAGCCTCTCCAAGACCACCTCTGCTGGCTTGCCAGCACAACTGGATGCGAGAGAGGGGTGCACGGGGCGGCTGCGCTGTCGCTTTAAGAGCCTCGAGTGCGCGCAAAGGCAGACCCCCCCCTCCCCCTGCGCGCCCCCGCCTTCTCTCCGTTCCTCTCCCTCTCTCTCTCCCTCTCTCTCCCTTCCGCTCCCTCTCCCTCTCCGCTTTAAAGTCTCCGCCAGGATCCAGGCTCACATGTTACTTCCTGTATGGAAGAATGGAAAGCTTCCAGCAGCTCCTGCCTGACTATTCCTCGCCAGCTTTCTCTGGCGCCCCAACTTCCAGCAGCGAGATGGACTAAGAGCTGCTTCGGGCAGCCTGACGACTCTTCGCCGCCGCCGCCGCTCCAAGCCCTCCTCGATCGCTGGCGCTGGGCAGAGGATTCCGCCGCCGCCGCCGCTCTTACTGCTGTTTGCAAGAATGCCGTTTTCCCTTTGGCCTTCCGAGGAGCTGCCCGCATGAAGAGCCCCAGCCCAGCCGAGGCGCTCTTTATCCACCGCTCCCCGGCGCCGTTGCCGCCGTCGCTGCTGTTTTTGCGGGTTAGAGTGAAGTTGTGAGCTCCCGGCTCGCAAGTCTCCCCCACCCCCACCCCGGCCCTCCGCGTTGCTCCCGAGGCCTGGCGCGGTCTTTCTGCTGAACTCTGGGACTCCTTATCATTTGCACACACGCAGAAAATCTGGCGTCCAACTCCGGCGGGAAGGGAGAAAGGAGAGCTGCGCGCGCCGATTTATTTTTATTTTTACTCGTGCGCGGGAGGGGGCAATTATTACCACTGCCCTCCTCCTCTTCCTCCTTTAAAAATAATTTCCCTCCCTTTGTTTCCAACTGAGGGGCAGGAAAGTGTGCAAGTTTCATAATTTCCAACAAGTTTGTGTATATGTGTGTGTCTCCCTCTGTGTGTGTGTGTGTCTGTGGGATCCTCGTCCTTTTTATTTTTAAATCTACTTAAAGAGAGCCCCCGTCTGCTTTTTTCGATGTGCGGCTTCGGACATGCGGAGGCTACTGCAACCGTGTTGCTGGATCTTTTTCTTGAAAATCACCATCTCCGTGCTCCATTACGTGGTGTGTTTCCCCGGTGAGTGGCAATCTTAATATGGGATGGATTGAAGGTTGGGGAAGGGGCCCCCCAAACGCGCTTCCCACCACCTCGGCTTTTTCTGTCTGTGTCTGGCGGTGTGTGCCAATCGGTGTATATGTATGTCTTCGTTTGCTTTGCACGCCCCTATAATCGCCCTCATTTGTGGCCGGAGTGGATATGCACGGGCGGAGAGAACGCGAGTGTGCTGTTTTGTCCTCTTCTTCAATGTTTGTACCCGATCCATCCTTTCTAAGGAAGGCGTGTATGGCACGCTGGCTGAGAAATCGCTTTTCGTCTCGAGAGTTGGATTTGATATGAGCAGAAAGGGGACTCTGACATGCCTGGGGGAAGCAAGTCGGGCGCCCTTGTTTGGGGAAGGAAGGATGATCCTTTCCCAACCCCATTAGCGCTGCACAACTTCTGCTTGCCGATTCTCTCTTCATCTGCACTATCAAGTACACCCCCGCGCCCCGCCGCCCTTTTCCTCCCCCTATTTCTTTCCGTCCTCCAGCCCTTCATCTGTGGCAATCAATGGGAGAGACTCCGGCTTCCCTCCTGCTGTGCTAAGTGTGTAGCGGTGTGATCCCATCCATCTCTGCCTCTGTGAGTGTGAGTGCTTGTGCCCGCTGGCTCTGCTTCTCCCTTCCTCAACCTTGTGTATGTGTGTATACATATCCACTAGGACTGCCACTTCAGTACTTGCTGCCGCCGCCTATTCTCTCGCCGTAGCTTTTACCTTTTAGCAGCCGCATGTAATCCCCTCCACCCCAAAATAGAATTAAATAAACATTAAAAAACTGTTTGGACACTGCAGGATTGAGAGAACTGTAGGACAGTCAGAGAAACTCCCTAATTTGGAACTTCCACTCCCTCTCATTCTTTTACCGTGGTGCTATTTTCATGGTTTCATTTATTTTTTGTCGAAAGAGAAGAGATTAGGAATTCCTCCCCCTTTGCGCCCGCGCGCCCGCGTGCACTCGCGCGGGCGCGCGCACACACACTCACACTCTCCCTCTTTTTTTCCCCTAGCCTTTCCCTCGCCCTGCTGAAATCTTGGATTTGGTGCAGTGCTTCGCTAGGCAGAGCCTGGGCATCGCAGGGTATAAATGCCAGCGGTGTGTGTGCTGGGGTGTGGGCAAACCTTTCTTATTCTGTGCCAAAGGATGTGTGCACATAGGCAGTGCACTCCTGCCATGCCACCTGGGTGACTGCCCCCCCCATCCATTTTCATCCTTTGCCAGTAGTGTTGTGGAAATAACGAGCTTACACACACAGAGAGATACAATGCCACCTTCCTGACTGCCTGTGTCCACCTGCAGCAGTTCTGTAGACCTTTATTCAGAGAAACTGGGATAGTGTCACATCATTGACCTTGATAGGGGTGTGGGAAACTTCCACTCTAGGATCTGGTTGGAGAAAGATTGGATCCTGCTTCAGGAGCTAGAGGAAAAGTAGGGATTCTGAAATTTCACATGATGAATAACGGCTGGTGTAAAACCTTGCACCAGCTTTTCCTGTCTTGGCAGTTCTGGACAACTGAGTAAACCCAGAACCATTCCAGGCTGCTGGGCATTAGCTCGAACCAACAGTTCCTTGATGTGTTGTGTTAATTGGCATGGGGGGAGGTGGTCTTTGCTCCAGCCTTCTTTGGCATGGCGGAAGCATTAGTTAAAAATAAGATTTTCTAGGAGTTACGGAGCACAGCAAAGTTGCTCCTCCTTCTGCAAGCTGAGCTTTGGGGCTGAGAAAAGTTAAAAATGTCAGGGAAGCTCCGAGGAGTTTTTGTGAGAGAGTGTGTGTGCATGCGTGTGTGTGCGCGCACTTTTCTCTTGCCCCCTCCCATCCACTTTACACAGATGGACCAGTAGAGGCACTGGTGAGCTTCTGTCTCTTCTGGATTATATTCAGCATATATCCCCAAAGTCCCCCAACATATGCACACTGATCTTGTGATAAGAGCTGTTCTTAAATTTCATATTAACCCATTCCTGTTTTATAGATGGCATGACGTTATCATCTGCTTTTTGCTTTTAATTTCAGCACCATATCACATTCTGCAGCTCGTAGGATGAGTGTCTGGAGCTCACCCACATGTCACTAAGAGTGTTTAGATAATGCCCAAAGTACAATTCTCTGGAAAATTGTTTCCATGTTGTCTTCACCCCTTTTAATTTTTATTATTTGAACAGTGGGATGAGTGGCTGGAAAATGTGTCTGAAGAAAATCTTCCTGCCTGTTCTATGCAGCATCTATTTTCGACTTCCAGTCCTTTTTTCTTTTGGTAAAGCTTTAAACCTTACCTGGTTGACTTGATCTTCTAACAGTGCAATCCCTGTAGATGTCTACTCAGCAGTGAGTACAGTTGGACTTACTCCCAGGTAAAGTAAAAAGGACTGTAGTCTAAATGGGCTTCAAGTAGGCAAGGCCCTTTGTGGTTCAGAAGAATGGAGAATGATCTGAGTATGCATGTTTACTTTGAATTAAGACTCCCTGAAGTAAACAGGGCTTTCTCACTCCCATGTATGTTTAGGTTCACCTTCTTGTGCCATGTTTTTAAAAGTACAAATTTTGTTAAATTTGGAATGTGACTAAGCATTTTCACCTCTTCTCCCCTATCCCATCGACATCTTCTCCTGTTACAAACTTCTAATGCAACTTCTGCTCCATGCTACAGGTTGCTTTATTAGGCTTTTAATATTTTTATCACTGACTCTTTATAGCTATGATTAAAAGCAGAAAGTTTTGTGACATTGACCTTTTTGAGGCCATTTTTTATCCTGGATCATTTTATAGGTTCAAATAAAAGTTTAGGGGTATGGGGGGGGGGAGAGAAAGGTATTTTTTTTAACAGAGGCTGCAGTCCTGTGCAGACATTAACCAGACTGTAAGCCCTATTGAATACTATGGGACTTGTCTCCAAGTAAACATGCGCAGGACTACACTGTAAAAAGATCAAAACCAGATGTCCTTACAATAGTTTGGTCATATCTGAACTATTGCTTCTATCAGCTTCTTCAGACAAAGCAAATAATTTAATTGGGAGGGAGGGAGGGAGGGAGAAAAAGAAGAGGGAAGAGGGTTTGAAATTTCTCTCTGTTTGAAATTCTGCAGCTCTTGTGAAGGAACATTTATCTTCTTTGTATTGATTTCTTCTCGATTTCATCCTTCCAAGTGAAGCCTTTTCTTTCTGATTCTGATATATATTGTACAGTAATTACATCTAGGAGGCAGGCTGTGGGAACGCTTCAAGAAAACAAGCACTGATGTAAGTTTAATATGACACTGTTGTAAGAGCAGTGAATTTATTTCAGTGAAATCTGAACTGGGTAACCCTGTGCATTACGGACCTCAGTAGTTCCATCTTGCTTGCATTTTACATGTGGCATCCACTTTAGAAGGTGAACGGTTAAATGGCACTTAATGGCAATAATGGGTAAAGAAGAGATCAATTTTAAGTGTGGAAGCTGATAGAGGATATTTGTACAGCTTTGTTCAAAGGCAAACAACATCTTGTGAGGAAGTTTTATGGCTCTTGACTTGGAGAGGAGCTGTTACACAGTGCAGAATGCTCGCCTTGCACTCAGAAGGTGCCAGCTTCAATCCATTGCATTGCTAGTTGAAAAGATTTCTAAGTGCAGCTCTGGGAAAGACCAGCATTTGAGGCCTTGACCTGGGGAATAGCTGCAAGCCGAGTTATGCAGCACTGGGCTAGATGGATGGCAGGAATGGACTGATGCTGTCTGTATAAGGCATTTTCATAGGTTGTACTTCAGTGTTAGTGCTTTGCTCTTTTTTCCAGATTCAAATGGATTAGAAAACCCCACACCTAATTCTTCGCAGATGTTTTGGAAGATAATAGCTAGCTAGGGATACAGAGAGTTGTAGTCCCACACATCTGGAAAACAAGTGGATGCAGAGAGGTCGGGTTAGAATGTTAAGTAAGGATTCTTTGTACATCATCTGGGGTCCGTACACGTCAAATTGCAGTGACGTGCTATTTTTTTGGTAGACAGAGTGAGTATCAAATCATTTGATAGTATTCTTGCTCATTACATTCAGCCTGATCACTCTCTTGGCACCCCTCTGGTAAATGTGAAAAACCACAGTCTTTCCCTGGAGCCTAGGACTAAATTCCTGGTATAGCTGTGCTGTGCTTTGGAAAAACTGAGAGACTTGACCATTTCTGAACTTCAGTGTGATACTGGAGATAAAGACCCCATCTTCCCCTTACATTTGTGGAAGAAAAGTATCATGAGGGCCGTATATTTAAATAATTTACTAAAGTCAGAGGAGGGAGCACCCAAGGAATCATCTTGTGTAAAGCAAACCAAGCAGAATGGTTTTAAGTTTTAAAAGTAGATTAGTGCCTTAATTGCAAGGGCAAAATATGGGAAAAGGCATCGAAGTCTGCAATGCTGTGCTCACTTACTGGGCAGCAAGTTCCAGTGAAACTTATGAGGACCTTTATTGTGGGTGAACCTGTCTAGAATTATGCTGTAGATTTATTGTACTGGCAGAATTATTTTGGCTATGTCCTTGATGTATATTTCTGCCTAAATAATAAAAAGTAAATTTAAAAATGTGATAAAGATAATTAATTAAATAATAAATGGGGCAGTTCACACATCCCAGTAAGCTAGGGTCTTCTGGAGCATTTATGAGCAGCATGCTTGTAAGTACCGCTTGATCATTCCTGTTGCAAGTAGAATGGGCTAGTCTGTAGGTTATTACTCTATCTTGTAGTGGGACACAAGCCAGAGGTCTAGGTTCATGTATCATGCTAAGCAGAATGGTTCAAAGGTCCATGGCTGGTTCAGCTGCTCACACTTCACTTGTAGTGGGTGTGCCCAAGCCGATTGCACAGGCATGCTATGAACCTTGAAATGGGAATCCAGCCAGTACATAATAGAGTGTTTTGCAGATACGTTTGCTCTTGAGGTGAGCATCAAGGAATGTTAATCATATTTCATGAAAAGTGAGCCATGACATGCATTTCT